GCAGCCAGAGGGCTCCCTGGAGGCAAAGATGATAAAACTTCACCTCACATACATGGGTTTCTTCCTGTTGTTGTTGCCAACGCATAGCTGACCCTCCAGCAGTTTTTTCAGAGGCAGTTAATTCCACTAGAGTAGCTTTCCCGTTCTTCGCAAAGAAGAAGGATTAGAGACAAAGCTTTGAAAACTTCCAATTGTGATACTGGAGAAGAGGACAGCAGAGAAAATTAGATTCTCCAGATAAGGCAGGTGAAGGGACAGGCAATACCCACCAGTGGATTAATTGAACATTATAAAAATTGTAAAACATCCATCAATGATAGATAACGGCATAAAACAAAATATCCAAGAAGGAGTGAAGTACAAAAAAAAAAAATCAATGTGGTTTGTAAACTTTCAGTTACATTAGAGATGTACATAGATTAATTCTAGTCTATAATTAAAATAAATGTGAAGAAGTAAGAAAGGAATTACGTCTCTCAGCACTAGTACCCTGAGATGCAATCAGCAGGCAAAGAGGCCAGAAAACGTCCCAGGGACTCTCCTCATTGTAGAAAGACAGAGACAGACCACCCTGGCCAGGCTCATCCAGGGACCCACATCAGTGCAACCAGGCTGGAGTTTACTGAGTTTGACCTTGGCAAAAAGAACCTATTCCTTCCTCACTTTTATACTGAGAAAAGTTGCTGATTCCAAATAATCCCTCTCAGCTTAATTTAGACAAGTTTTCCAATGTTACTAGCAATGGTTGCCAATAACAAATTTATTTTTTTTTAAGGCTATGATCTTACGGTGATCAAGGCACATCTCACAGTAAGCACATCTTTCTGTCATCTCAGAAGAGATCAAAAGAACAGAAAGAGTTTGAGATGGACAACACATGGGAAAGTGGGAAATAACATCACATCTGTACTTGGAACCTAATTGAACAGCTTTTTCTCCAGGGGTCCAGGTGGGACCCTAACCACTTTAGCTGCACCCCTAGGTCCATCTCTATCACACGGAGCATGTCCTGCCAGTCCTCAATAGCCTTCAAATTTATAGTCACTTGGGGGTCCATACCGCACTCCACAGGGAGGGACAGCTCTTGGAATCGCATCTTGCACTGACGGAGGACATGCCTTAGAACGTTCTCCAGGGCAGCCATACGGAGGGTGTTTCCAGGGAACTTGAAGCAGCAGAGCCGGGAGCATTGGCCCAGGGTAGGCAAGATGGTGGTGAACTGGAAATCTGTCATTCTACACCCACCTAAGTTCAAGTGTTTCAGGGTGGCAGAGGTTCTCTCCAGCAGAGTGTGAAGATAGTGTGGGTTAAAATGTGTTAGCTGTTGGTCGCTGAGATTCAGGAGACAGAGCTGGCTAGCGCTTGGGCACGTGCACAGATATTTCAAGTCACACTCCATCGGGCCACCGTTAGTTATAGAGAGGCTCTCCAAGGGAGCTTGTAGGTACTTGAACATCTGGGGTAGGCGACCTGCCGGAAAGCGCATGAAGTCGAGGTGGAGATGCTGAAATTGTTGCAGTTCAGAGAACTGGGTGGTGAATTTGGCCCAAAACCTGTTTACCTTTCTTGAGGAGATCGAGGCGTGAACCTGGACACCACTGAGAAACAGTCTATTCAGATGAATCATCTGACGCAGAAAATGAACAAACAAGGCCAGGTAAACCAAATTCCACTCACAGTTCACTTCTACCTGCTCCACACGAACTAGCTCGACCTTTTCCAAGATCCTGCGCATAATAGAGTTTTCCAGCGGCTCATCAGGAATTTCCAGTTTCCTACAGCACAGTTGGGGGATAAGTTTGTTCTGTTTGACCCTCTTCACCAGGCAGGAAAGCAGGGCATCTGCAGGGGGTTCCATGAAGCACAGGTTCGAGAGGAGCACCAGCACCTCCGTGGAGGCGAACTGCTGCTTCTCCCCTGTGCTGGAGGGCCCCTCTCCGCGCCTCTCTGGCCTGGGCTGCGCAGCCCCACTCTCCCGTGAGGGGCTCACTAAGACCCTGTCCCCAAGCCCAGCCCACACGTGCCAGAAGTTGATCTCAGCGTCGCTTCTGAGGTCCAGCACTTGGAGTTTCCAACATGCAGGTCGAAAGTCACAGGCAAGCTGCGTATGGATGCCATTGATGGCCGCCTTCAAGATGTCCTGATCACACTGCGGAGCTTCCAGCAGAGCTACTTGCGCTCTGATGTCTCCTCCGTGTCTTCCCCTCAGTCCAGAACTTCCAACTCCGGGTTTTGGATTGCCGGCACGTCTCAGGATCCCCGGTCCACTGTGCCTCCTGGACATGAGATGGACGCGGTGTGGCCTTTACAGGGAGATCGTGGGGAGAAAATGAGTGGTGGTCACCCCTGGGCCTACCCTGCAGATGTAAGCATTGCTGGCGGGCATGCTCGTGGTCAACCCGAGTGTGAAGGCCCTGTGTCTACTCCTTTCAGCCTCCGTGGGGACAAGGCTTGCCTCTCAGCAGCCCTCGGGCATCTGCGGCCCGTTTCTCTAGTTACCACTTACATACTGATTTTACAGGATTGATTGTAAGGAATTGGTGAAACCATCCCTCCTTTCTTCCTAAAACAATCCTGTGAGGACTGATTCCAATGAGAAATCATTTCACCCGCTCTGATCTCTTACCGTTTCTACCTCAGTTCTCATTTTCTCACGGTATATTCCAAGCAGTGGAATAGTTGTGTCATACGGAATTCCCATGTTCAGATTTTTTAGGAAGTGCCAGACTGCCTTCCAGTGTGGTTGTAACATTTTACAATCCCACCAACAATGGATAAGAGTTCCTATCTCTAAAAAAACTATGAGATATCATCTCAACCCAGTCAGAATAGCAAAATTTAACAGAACAGCAAGCAACAAATGCTGGCCAGGTTGTGGAGAAACTGGAACCCTTATTCACTGTTGGTGGGAGTGTAAAATAATGCAACCACTGTGGAAGGTGGTGTGGCAGTTTCTCAAAAAGTTGCAAACAGAGATACCATTTGACCCAGCAATTCCACTACTGGGAATATACACCAAAGAGACCATAACTGACATCCAAGCAGATATATGCACACCCATGTTTATCGTGGCTTTGTTCACAATAGGAAGGAGTTGGAAACAACCTACGTGCCCATCAACAAACGAATGGATAGAGAAGCTGTGGTATATTAACACAAGGGAATACTACGCTGCATTGAAAAACAAGGAACTCGTGCAATATTATTCAAAATGGAAATGGATGATCCCTGAGGATATTATGCTGAGTAAGCTATCTCAGTCACAAAAGGACAAATGCTGCATGGTGCCACTGTTGTAAAACAGGACTGACAGCAGAGTTGGAGGGGACTGAGAAAGATGGGTTCAATCATGTACACTGCATTGAAACAGATAAGGGAGAAAACTGTTTAAAAGGGTTATGTAATTAGGTATTTTTGTCATGATGCGAGTCCAGAGTGAAGGCTGCATAGTGGAGTGCACTTGGGGAAGGGTTTGTAAAACAATGAAAGAATTTGTCTTTTACTTCTCCAAGAGGGTAGTGTACTAGGGGGGAGGGTGGGGAGGGGAGAAAAGAGCAACAGTGAATGAATGGAAACCCAAAGTCTCTGTAAATCTTCATTGAAATACATAATAAATTTTAAAAAAAGAATGGAAAAAATATAACTGATTAGATTTTAAAAAGCTGAATAAAGAAGGAAAAAAATTCATATGGAAAAATGCTATGACAGGAGTGAGAAAACTCAGAATACAGATCAGCATATTGTGACTAAAATGATGCTTTTAAAATACATATCACAGAATAAAAGCCCACTGTATTTATAAAATTTTTTAAAAACAAGAAAAGAGAATTCCTATCTCGCCACATCTTCTCCAACAGGACATGCTTCTAAGGTATCTGAAAGGTTCAATCCGGTAGGTGATTGAAATCACGGGTCTGAGAATGGCTATGTGAAGATTTCAGAGGCCCAGCGGGGAGTTAGAGCACCTGTGTCTCCGTCTCTCCAACTCTATGATACAGTGGCAATTGGACACTGTGACGATGATGACAGAGCATAATTGTCCCCACTGGGATTCAAGGCTGTATATATTTATGGAAACAGGCCACCTCCTCATTTTCCCACAGAGACGCTGCTGAGCACTTTACCCATCATGCTATCAGGACGCGCACCTTTCTTTAAAGGAGGGTCTACCGTAAGAGACGCACTTCATCACACACACACGCACTCAGGTTTCACTCTGGAATTTATCAGTCTTTGGTCCTTTACCAAAGATGTCCGGAGTTGGAGCTATTATGAGTTAAACGGCACATCACACACACACGCGCGTGCATGCACGAACACACACACACACACACACACACACACACACACACACACACAGCAGAGCAAGTTACCCCAAGCAGCCTGAGCCTTCTCCTGTGTGCCAGACACCCCTCCACTCTGCTCTTCTACAACTTTCAGGGGTGACAAGGATCTATCAGGGAATGTCAGTTGCAAAACTTAGGAAAATGCAGAATGAGAAGAAGGTGTCCAGAATACAACCTTGAGGAATTCCATTACTTACGGGTCATCTCAGGGAGGGAGGTTTAAAGACAGAGAATAGGGAGCTCTGGTGGCCTAGTGGCAAGAAGCTGCACTGCAATCCCAGAGGTATGCGGTTTGAATCCACCAGATGCTTTGCTGGAGATGGAGGGACAATCTCCTCCTGTACAGTCAGATCTGATTTGATGGCGCGCGCACATGCGCGCACACACACACACACGAATAAAATTAAAAAAGAAAAAGAGAAGAACCAACAGAGGTGAACGGGAAGGACACAGCACTAAGAACCACATTGTCACCAGATAACCTCCCAAACCAGCAAGGGGCAAGTGTCCACTGTGGAGCCCTTTGTCAGAACAAAGGCTTTCCTGGAAACCCTGATGGCTTTTCCTTTTGGTGACCGAGATTGGTCAACTAAGGTCCAGTTGCTGGTAAAGGGAGCAGAGTTCGCATGCGCCCTCAGCATGGTCAGCACTCAGCCTTGTCGGGGCTGGAGAGGCAGCACTGCATCTGAGCCAGGGCGGAGCGAACCCTGCACCTGAGTGCAACCGGCCACCACAAGGAAGGGCTAGCAGAAGCCACTACTGGACTCCCTGCTTCTCAACATCCAGGAAGCAATATCTTAGGTCCCGCCGGGGGTGCTATTCATGGTGGAGACCTCTGATCCCCCCCACACACACATCAGCTGCATCAGCACCCACACGTTAGGCTCCCTGGGCGCTCACATGGGCGTCCAGCATGAGAAGGGCTGGTCCAGCCCCCACAGCCTTTCCCTGGCCCTGCCGTTCGCCCTGTCCTCCTCTCACCTCTTCTTCTTTCCCAAATCCCAGACATCGCACATCTTCTGTAAGGTTTTTCTTAACTTACTCTATGAATGAGGCCTCTTTAAATGTTGTTCAAGAGGCCGGGCAGCGCTTGTGGGAGGCGCAGAAATCTTCCAGCTGGGACCAATTGGGCCATTAAACTATTTCTTCAGCTTATCCCGCACCCCACAGGCATGGAGTCTAACTTGGGATCGACTTAACGTCATTCAGCTGCGAGGAAGGTTGGCCCGTGTTAACAGCACTGGGTGGTTCTGGGCTTTGTTGGGGTGGTGGTGTTTCAGTACAGCGCCCATCAATGAACCCAAGAATGTTAGCCTTAACAATGGAACTTCAACACGTGCGGTAGAGAGCTCCCTGCCCTGACTCAAAACCCAGCCAGACTGCTGCCATTGAGTCACTTCCACCCAGAGCGACCCTCTGTCAGGTTTCAGAGGTCATGAATCCTTTCTGGAGGAGACTGTCCTCCTCTCCCACTGAGCTGGCAGTCTCTCTGCACTGCGACATGTCACACATTATGCCACCCACTCAGTCCTGCTATAACTCACGGGACTCACCTTACATTGAGTTCTGTCCAATGTTTGAAGGACCCCGGTGGCTCAGTGGGAAGGAATTTGGCTGCACTCCAAAGGTCGGTGGTTTGAATCCTCAGCTTCTACCCGGGGAGACTGATGAGCGTTCCGCTCCTACAATGCCTACAGCCCTGGGAACCCCAGACGCCGGTCTGCGCTGCCCTGAGGGGTCAGTGAGAGCCCACAGAGCGGGCTCGCCGGCACGGGGTTTGGGTTTTTCCTTTTGAGGTTCAGTGTTTGAGGCTCTGAGATGTTAAGAGACACTCAATTCAATTCACTGCCATTGAATCAATTCCTACTCCCGGGACCCTCATCAGGCTTCCCAGGCTTTTAAAGAAGACCTGGTGCTTCAGTACATGAAACACTGAGCCACTAACTGAAAAACTGAGAGCTCAAAGTCACCAGCCATGATAGGTTCAGAGTTTGGTAAATCGGGCATAAAGTAAGGCTAGGTGGGAGGATGTTAGATCAGAAGCCAATGAAATAAGGAAGCCCAAGATGCCATGATAAGAGCCAATAGGAAGCAGAGATCAAACAGAGTGACTAAAACCAATCAGATCCAAGGAGCCAATCACATTAGACCAAAGTGCCTCATAATCCTAATACGCATAGTGGCGGCTGCCCAGACGCAACCTGCCTTGTGTGTTAAGTGCATGAGTGACCTCAAGAACTGTCCAGTCTGGACAGCATCCCACTGGCCCAGGAACTTACTCAAATGAGGAAGCAAGTCAGCTGTATTAACCGACACTACACGGGGCCCATTTCACTTCTGAGAAGGGTCCATCTCTCTGTAAGGGACGTGTCTTTCCTAATAAAGCTGTTTTCACCTCGGCTCCTGCCTCACTGCCTTTTCCGTCAGCCCCACGGCCTAACCAGAGCCTGCCTACACCGGCGTGGTTTTGGAACAGGATGTAACCAGGACAAAACCAGGAGACCTTCTCTCAGCCAACCTTTCTGTCGTCTCCCACTTGTTTCCATTCGTCTCGGGCTAAGAGAGGCCGAAGCAGGCCATTCGCCACCTACACGTAACAAGCCACTCGGCATAAGAAGAGGCCATCTGCTCTGTGAAGCTCTACAGACTTGAAAACTGATGGGGTAGTTTTACTCTGTCTTACAGGGTCACTGCTGTCAAGAAATCCAAAGAAGAGTTGCATTGGGAAAGTCTGTGTCAGTGACCTCCTCAGAGTGCTGAAGAGCACTGACGTCAGTCCAGGGAGGAAAATGTGCTTGACCCAGACCGTGGTCTTCTCAATTGCTTGCTATGCATCTGAGAGCTGAACAAGAAATAAGGCTGAGAGAAGAATTGATGCCCTTGAAAGTCGTCGTGCTAGAGAAGAGTATTGGACATGTTCTGGACTGCCAAAAGAACACACAGGTCTATCCTGGAGAGGATGAATCAGGTTGCTTCTGGCAAGGATTCTGGAGCGCTGTCTCACATACTTTGGGCTTGTTGCCAGGAGAGACCAGTTCTT